TGGTGTTTGCTCCTTTATTTTTGTGGAAACTGTGATACATTTTTTAGGCCTCTAATGAAAAATTCAAATAGCAAAAAATATAAATCTTCTGTAACATTATAAATGTCTTTACTGTCCCTTTTGATCAATTCAATGCATCTTTGATGAATAAAAGTGTTAATTTCTGTATTTTTGCACCTGGCTCTGTAGCTGGTGCGCATCTTTAGCGTGTTGAGTCTCCAGGGTTTCAGGCAGTTGTGAGTACAGACATGTGGAAGCGTTTTTTCTGCCAGCTTCTTTGTATTTATTCTGTCAGACAATGAGAGCAGGTGTAAGAGCGCGGTCACATGACATCGGACAGGTGAACATGAGTGATGCGTGTGCGTTACGTCGCTCTGCAGATCCGTCATGCGTTTGGCGTGTTGTGTGTCAGTCGTGTCGGGCAGCTGAGAGTACAGACTACACGACAGCTTCTTCCTCCCGTCCTCTTTATATCTGACCTGAAACATCACCACCATCATCATCATGTGACTGGCGTGTGTGTCTGAGCGTGTTTGTGGCGTGTCGTACCTCACTCTGAAGATCGCTCATCTCTCTAGCGAACTCCGTGTCTGGCGTGTCGGGCATCAGCGAGTACAGATTGACACACAGATCCCTGCGTCCATCCTCACGGTACAGCAGCTGAACACACACACACACACACACACACACACACAGACACACACAGACACACATTAGCGTGTTGAGTCTCCAGGGTTTCAGGCAGTTGTGAGTACAGACATGTGGAAGCGTTTTTTCTGCCAGCTTCTTTGTATTTATTCTGTCAGACAATGAGAGCAGGTGTAAGAGCGCGGTCACATGACATCGGACAGGTGAACATGAGTGATGCGTGTGCGTTACGTCGCTCTGCAGATCCGTCATGCGTTTGGCGTGTTGTGTGTCAGTCGTGTCGGGCAGCTGAGAGTACAGACTACACGACAGCTTCTTCCTCCCGTCCTCTTTATATCTGACCTGAAACATCACCACCATCATCATCATGTGACTGGCGTGTGTGTCTGAGCGTGTTTGTGGCGTGTCGTACCTCACTCTGAAGATCGCTCATCTCTCTAGCGAACTCCGTGTCTGGCGTGTCGGGCATCAGCGAGTACAGATTGACACACAGATCCCTGCGTCCATCCTCACGGTACAGCAGCTGAACACACACACACACACACACACACACACACAGACACACACAGACACAAACACATACACAGCAAAAAACTGACATTCTGTCTTGTTTTCCAATGCAAATGTCTAAAAATGTACTGAGTAATTGATCAAAATGTATTTTGTTTACAATTAAAACAAGAACAAATATCTGCCAATGGGTGCAAATTAAAAATCAAGTTAATTCATTTCCCATTGACAGATATTTGTTCTTGTTTTAAGCATGAAGTCACTTAATTTTGATCTCTCAGAAAACAAGACTTCAAATAATTTTGCATCTCCAGTAAATGCACCTTGATTTAAGAATCTTTAGACATTTGTACTGGAAAACAAGACAGAAACACTGAGGAAGAGACTCATTTGGCAACACTTCATGCCGGGACATTTATTTTAGCTTGTCTATTTTCTATCTGTTTTAATTTAAGACCGGCAGAAACCCTGCTGATAACCTTTATTTATGAATGATGTGTGGCTCTGACGATCTCGTCTCACCTCACTGTTCAGCTGTGAGGCGTGTTTAGCGTGTAGAATCTCTAATGTTTCAGGAACACACGAGCACACACCGTTCACCAGCTTCTTCCTGCCGTTGGTATTCTTCCTCTATTGAAGCAAAACACACACACACACACACACACACACACACACACGAGGACACAGAATACTACACATCTTACAGATGAACTATGAACATTCACAAACAGAGTCCACGATGATGAACAGCAGGTAAAGCTAATAATAATAATAGTCAATAAAGTAATAATTACATATAATGTATCTTTAATACATAAAACTTAAAACAGACTGTCAGTACCTCCGTCTGAGTGCCGGTGACGTCTGTGGTCCTCTGACTCTCAGTCGCCTTCAGCTGGATATAAAACCATTCAAATTAAAATTATAACATGTAATGTTTATTTAATACATAAACATAATAGAAGTCTGACTGCGGTTTAACCAACACGATTACTAACTAACACTGATGCAGAAGCACACACTGATGACAGCTCAGGTCAATCATCGTTAGTGTCTGATCTGATGGACATCATTTATTGTATTCATTTATTTATCTGATGGAAATTATTTAAATGAAGTGTTTGAATGAGTCTGGTTCACCTCAGAGTGACATTCGGACACAGTCTGAACACACGTGATCTGTGTGACGTCCACACGCGTCATGATCTCCTGAAAGAAGGAGCGGTGGATTCACTCAGACACAGAAACACAGCTCGCAGCTTTCATAACGAGTGTTTCCTGAATATCACACCTATTCAGGCATGCATCCATTCAGACTGAACAACTCATGAATGAGTTTCACACAGCCTGATCATCTGACACCAGCAGCTGCACCGTTGTGCTGAATATTTATACAATTAAAATTGTAATTGATTGATTATATACAAAAACGTTTATTGTAAGATATGCTTATATACACACATATTTAAAGGGGTCATACGATGGTATTTTAAAGATCATTATTTTGTGTATTTGGTGTAACAGAATATGTTGACATGCTTTAATGTTCAAAAAACACATTATTTTTCAAATACTGTACATTATTGTAGGTCCTCTATGCCCCGCCTCTCTCAGAGAAAGGAACAATTGAAATCACATCATATGACCCTTTTAAGTATTTTGAGAGCATAGGGAGACTCGATTACATCATTCACAGTGCTTCATGGGAGTGGGCGGAGCTAAAGAGATCTATTTGCCCGTTTTACTCTCCGATTGGTGGAGAATTCCCTTCAGAATCATGGGTAATGTAGTTTTTATACCAGGTACATGATTATCTAAAAATAGGTTATAATAATGCAGGCTGATGGCTTCAACAAAAGCATAAACCATTAATTAACAACCTCGTAGAACACATTAGGTCTGTCTTTACTGGTTTATAAGTTACCATTAAAAAATCATTTTCCCTAAAGAATAAAATGAATGGAATTTCTACTTCACACTCACCTCATGGGCTGCTGAGCTTGGAACAGGACTCGGATCAGGATTCAGATCAGGACTCAGATCAGGATTCAGATCAGGATTCGGATCAGGATTCGGATCAGGACTCGGATCAGGATTCAGATCAGGACTCGGATCAGGATTCGGATCAGGTTTTGGATCAGGACTCGGATCAGGATTCAGATCAGGATTCAGATCAGAACTCGGATCAGGTTTTGGATCAGAACTTGGATGAAGACCTGGATCGGCTGTGACAGCTGCTGGAGAATCCTGTGAGAAACACACACACACACACACACACACACACACACACAAACACACACACGCGGTGTGAGA